ATTATTGAAAGTTATAGTCTAATTCCCCTCTCATTACCTTTTATTATTTCAGTCTCTCCCAACCCTATATCATTAGGATGAATCAAAGTAAAAATCCACTTACTGATTCACTATAACAATATTATATTTCATAATTATCTTGACAAATTTATAATCATATACTTAGATGATATTAAGATATAAAAATCTAGTATTATTAAAAAATTCATAATTCTTTTTGATACTTTTAAATAAAGAATCTTCTTTTATATTAGTACTTATATTAAATTATTAAATTATTTTATTATTATAAATATTTAATAATTGATATTCTATTATAAGTTTATAAAGCTATAATAAACTTTATTTAATTATTCAACTTCTTGTAAATATATATAATTATTAATAGTATTATTTAATGATATTTCTTTAGAATCTTTCAAGAGAATTAAGAATAAAACTGCAAGATTAGATATTTTTTCTATATTTATAAATAATATTTTTGATTTCAATTCATCTAAGTAATTTAAATTTTATAAATTGAATAATTAATATATTAAATATTAAATAATAATATATTATATTAATTTAATTTCTTCATACTTTGATATTATCACTATTTCTTTACTTTCTAATATATTTGGAAAATTTAATGAATAATTAAAAATACTTTCAAGATCTTTTCATAATTTAAATTTTTCATAAATAGATAATAAAGTAATAGAAAAAATAAAGTTCTTTAAATTGGATTAAAATAGGATATTTACTAGAAATATAATATTTAAGAGTATAAGAAATCGAAAAATTACAAGAATAATAAATGTACTAAAAAGATATTTTTCAAATTATAATTTTTTTCATATAATTTTTAAATTTTATATGTTATCTTGATTTAAAATTTATTTTGATTTATATATTAATATAATAAGATATATTTAATTAGTCATTTTACTCTTTGATATATACTTTAAGTAATTAAAATCACTTGCTTCTATATAATTTGCTTTCTAATTATTTCTTTTCTAATTATTAATATATTATATATTTTTAAGATTATCATCAATTAAATTATAAGAATAATTATTTTTATATTATATATTTTCTAATTATTAATATATTACATATTTTTCAAGAGAAAAACTATTATTAATTAATAAATAAGAATTCTTATTTAAATGACTTGTAATGAACTATTTTTCTTATTTATACTTTTTATTTGAATCTTATTAAAATAATGTCTAAAAAACAAACATAATAATAAACTAATTCTTCAGATAATAGTTCTTTTACTAAAATAATATATTCTTAATTTGAAGATATATTATTTTATTTTTGCAAATAAGCAATATCAACTTGAATTGAATGTGGGATTTGGATGTGACGGAGAACGTATTCTTCGGGTAAAAAATAATAAATCATGCCATAAAAGGAGGGATGAATGTATGCAAGGTTGATCCATTTAATATATGATGTGATGTAGCTATCATATGACTGACGAGAAAAATCCAATGTAGGTTTTTTCTTGTTAGTTGTATTCTATATTTTTACCCACAATTTCTCTTAGTTTTGATTCATATATTTTCTTTTGATTTATTTGTTTAGTAATATTATAATGAAGTTTTGACACCATGTTTCGAATTGGGGAGAAACAATTTAATTTTTGCCAGAGATTTATCTTGCCGATATTTATATTATGTTTCACTTAGTTTTAACGCATACTTTTTTTTGAGTATTTAGCCTAATTTTGAGATATCTTGGGCAAAAACTATCAAATTAAGTTTAACCCTAAATTTTGACAAAAAGGGGAAACCCACCTTGTTCGATGTTGTTACACATGCAAATCGGGCGTTACTTTTTGTGGCGACTGTACATATTTGTATAGCATGTACATGTACATTCTTTATATTTTTTCCTTTTTTTGGTCAGGTATTTTAACATACATGTAACTATTTACATGTATATGTAAAATGTGCTTAATATTCATTGACCGAACGCGCGCCTTTTCCTATTAAACTCCGCAAAGGACGCAAAACGCGTACGACAAACACGGTTAGCCAATCTAAAAAGAATTCGCAATATTATTTAAATTTCAAGTTTCGTATAATATACTCAGCTCAATTTCATCACTCATAATTTTATCTTGGAGAGATGACTTGCTATAACAGCGCAACCATCCTTTCGTTCCTCTCGTTTGTTTGTCTCTTGCTATTGAACTTGGGTGTTCCAATTATCCCATATATATATATTATGAGTGCCAGTTCAAGCTCACACGAAATATATTTATCATTATACGGTTATTGTACGTCGACCGAATATGATTTCTTTTGTGGAAAAGTTGATAATATCGGAAAAGCTAAACTTGGAATTTTGCTTGCCATGCATCCTGTTGGTACTGTATTTGTACTCGTCTCATATTACTTTTAAATGACATACAGGAAACTGTTACTATAAAAATTATTGATTGTATTTCTTAGGGATGGCGATGTCATTTTTATCATCAATCTCTGGCATTTATCGTATGAAGAAACTTTCAATAAGTCTATCCTCGCTGGGATTCATTTTCATTTTATTGGCAATTATAGGTGATATTCTCAGTGCCAACAATCATCAAAATCGTACTGGAGATAAGACAACCCTTAGATTTGGATTTATTCTTGTGGTTATCTCTTGTGTGTTCACATTCTTTTCGATTTTTGCCTTCTGTGTACAGAAATGTGTGGAACAAGAAGAAACAACTGACTATTCTTATCCAGTAGTTCATCAACGCCCACCCCCGCCTACTCCAGTAGTTCAACCTGTTTCCAAAGTTATACTTAGCTACAAAGTTACCGTCGTCGATAATCTATAGCGGATTGAGGTTCAGAACAGTCTATAATAAATCGCCTTAATAATAACAGATTCATTAATAGACCGTTGATATAACGGATTTTTTGAAATTTCTCACTAATGAACCGATCGTCCGTTGTGTATTCTTATAAATTTGCTAAGTAAATTGTCTTTGAGTCAGCATGATTTCAAGTATAATATTAAAAATATATTTTTGTATTTAGAGAAAAAATTATTCATTGAATTTATTAATTAAAATAAATTAAAGAAAATTCTGGTTATTTTACAAACAAGCCTCTCAAAACACATCTTTCAGAGACTGGTAATTAAATGTGTAAATAAAATGTATAAACCTATATTTCTTTCTATATACAAATCTTTAATTTATTATGACATTTGTTTTTATATTTATATAAAAGCAAAAGATAAAATGAGAATATATCAATAATATTAATATATATAAGTAACTGGTAAAAGTAAATATCAGGCAATTAAATTTATTAATATACTTAAAAATTTTCTCTTTATATTAAAATTTATACTTTTTATATTAAAATAAAGTTTATAATTTATAATTAAATATATAAATTTTCAGAAATTTTAAATTTTTTGTTTTTATTGAAATCATTACTAAAATAAAATATTTTATTTTCTATTTAAATTTCATTTTTAATTAGAAAGATTTAGTAACATTTTTAATTAGAATAGCTCTTTCAGAAAAAACAGAAAAAAATTATATTTATTTTATTTAATATAAAAAAAATTTCAATTTTTATTATATTTATTAAATTATTTATTTATCTATTTAAATAAGATTAAAATATTAATCGAATAATTTCAATTTATGATTTTATTATTTGAATAATATTTAAATCCAAATTTAAAAGTATAAAACAGAGTGATATATTTATATAAAATAAAAGAAATATAAATTGCAAATAAATTAATAAACCAAATTATATTTTTATTTCACATAATTAATGAAATTAATTATCTTAGATCACATCTCTGAAATATAATATTATACTTAATAAATTAATAACGATAAATCATAATATAAATAATAAATAAGAATAAATTAGAAAATAAAAGAATAATTAAAGAATATTAATTAAAATATTAATTATAATACATAATATAATAATATATAATTAATTTAATTAATTCAATATATATTGATTATTTGTGTATTTAATATAAAATTTATCTTAAAAAAGTAATATAAACTAATAAAATAATATAAAAATTTAAAATAAAAATCTAAACTAAAATAAATATAATTTAGATCTTAGTGTTTTTTGCTCCTATCAGAATTTATTAATAAGTAATAATTTATGAAAACATTGATTAATTCAATAAAAAAAGCTCTGAACTCACTTTTATGACTAACTGAAGATTCGTTGGAGTATAGCGAAAGATAGATTTCGATCTGTTTGGAGCAATCGATAGCTAATCGAAGATCTGTTCATAAACCCCCTTCCTCTTAGTTGTCCCGGAACTATTCTTTTGTTTAAGAGTCTCACTTCTGAGAAAACTTAAATGTTAAGTACTAAAAATATTAATGCAAAAAGTAAATGTGTATGAAATTAAATGTATTTTAGTTAAAAGAAATACCTAGTACATGTATGTTTGATGCAAGACTGAAGTAATAACTGAAAAATCATGTTAATAAGTATAAAAGAATAAAAGTATGTGATTTGTCCTTTAACAAAGTCATCAGGAACTTTATCTTTTTCTATTGGAAGCCACATGCAGATTTGAAGTTTCTTTTTCCAAATCCTGAATTAATTTCCGAGCAGCCAAGGTATGTATTTTGATCCTGAAGAGTTACTGGTTCTACTTTAATATTAAGTTTAATCGGGCCATCCAAGGATTATCCTTATTAGGTTTGTCGTTTTTTGCTAGAAAATATTACACGCACACCCAAATATATAGCAGGAATAGAATTGGGAGCTTGACAAAACTTGATTACATTTTTTTCCGACGAATTCCAAGGAATTGGAATAATCGATGTTGGCATGTTGTCGTCAATCCATTTAACTTTAAAACCAGTTAACGCATTTTTAATTGCATTCTTGACCATTCCAATAACTTTTTTATCCATTCTTTCTTCATCAGTGACAAATTGTAACCTTTCCCAGCTCGAGCAACTGACTCTATTAAATGATGTGAAACGTTGGATCCAATTACTAAAGAGAAAAGTCGAAAATTAGTTTTCTGAACCAGTTGGATTATTTCGTCAACTTTCTGTATTTTACCATCTGTTAATAAGAAAACAGAGGTTGGCATATCACTACGAGTATTCTTAGCTAATCATTCGAGAACATTTTTATTTCTGTTCCTCCATAATCAGCTTAAATGTTTTCAATATGAGATAAAGCAGATTTAAATAAGGATCAAAATTACTTCCAAAAGAAATGATATTGAAAAGACAATTTTTGGAAGCGAATGAAGACTCAATTGTAAAGCTTGTGATGCTCCACGAATAGAACCACCAGACATTGAACCTGACCTAGAATTTATTTCAGAAAATTATATTCGCATAATCGTATAATTCAATCATTCACTAAATAATACCTACAAATATCATTTCGCTCATTTTTGCAGCACTCTGTGAAAAATTTGAAACCAATGTCTACATGATAGCATTTGTTTCTGTTTTTGGATTATACTCGATAAATGCTCTGTAACATGAAAAGGAACATACATGTATTTAATTTTTTCTATGGTGTATCTCACCTATAAACACAAAAAATATCATGTAGCTTTAAATATTATAAATCAGGAAAAATTAATAAAATACAAAATTAAATCGATAAAATTACAGATATGACATGTACGTATAAATAGATAATGTTACGTACGCACTAATAACTACATGTAGGATAATTTAATATTAACGGATCTCTTTAATATTCTAAAGGTTTCCTGGTGACTTGTATGCAAGTCGACCTTAACAAACGAAATTTCTAATAATAAAATGTAATTCGATGAGGTTTCTAATGAGCAACAGCAAAAAGACTAATTAACGGGACTTATAGACGATCCAAATTATTTCAATTAACCAAAAACTAAAGTGTTCAAAAATCATCGGCCTGAATCAAGCTTACGGTAAGCCAAGACTCTAATTTTGACAATATTACATGATAATCTAAGTCCGACAGTCTTATAATTCATTTTTTAATGAGAATCGAGAGTTCATCTGATCAAACCAAATTTCATCTCTATTTTGTTGACAGTTTCTTGTTTTCAGCTTTGTTCGCGCTGGTGATGTTCTGCTATATTTTTGATAGCCGACAACTCTTTTTACTTCTTTACAATAATATCGTCGTTGTTTTTAGTTGAATCACTTCCGTTGATATTTCTCAAACTATCAGCAAGTTAGGTCTCATTTTTTTAATTTTGTGCTTGTTGTTACAATATTAATTGGCTTTTTGTGTTCTATAACATGAGTTGAAGTAAATCGGAATTGCTAAATCTCGCAAAAATTGGAATAGCATTTTTGCTTGAATCGATATGATTGCATTGACTGGGTCCGTTAACTTACTAAATGTTATACTGTATTTCATGGATCCAAATCGATGTGTGAATTTACATTTGTTATTGCTTGGGCTCATACATTTGTAAAATTCTTGGATTTATGTAAATAAATTGGTTGATATCCGCGCAGATTTGGTGTGATTTATACATTGTGATGTGTTTCGTTATAATTCAACATCATTGAATTTGGTGCAAATTAATAAGGAAGAAATGAATTTTAAAAGACTTTATGCTTGATATAATAGAATATTTCTTTTCATTTATCTGCATTCAATGAATTCCTACATTTCAACTTTTTAAACCTTATATGGTGCCATCTATCCACCTCAACAAATTTTAATCCACTATTAATCGAAAGACGCAGTCATGTGATCACGCAATTTTCAGTTAGTGACTAGTTTTTATCTTGACATCACCAAACATCTCAACATCTCATATAACAAAATTCCGAATCCCAAATCCCGACATGCCGCGAATTCTAAATTTGCTTAAAATATTAAAACCTTATTGATATATGTTAACAAAGTTTTGTTTCATAATACAGTCAACTCTTGATTTACCGAATGATCGGTAATGATATTTCAAGACCTCGTTAAACCGTAAAATCAAGGGAATACTAATAGTAATCGGTAAATTAAGCGCAGTCTCAATATGGTGATAAGGGAGAAAGGAACATTAATAACGATTCTGTTAAATCGGATAATCGGTAAATCAAGCGTCGACTGTATTGAGTATATTGAGTGTAAATTGAATTTATGTTGAAGATAACAAGGTAAAGTTGAGTTTTTGACTGAACTGTTTACAAGTACATGTAAATGGTTTCTCTAAATGTCTAAAGGTCTTTTGTGATAATTTGCACGCATATTAATCTTAAAAAATAACGTTATAAAGGTTGGCCTTAGTTTCCGTCAACAAAATAATCAAGGTTGGACTTTATTTTCTGCTAAAACAATATGAAAATTCGAAGTATGGCGAAAGATCCTCTATTATTGTACAGAAGATAAGTTTTAAGGTAACCCAATGAATAATTAACAAGTTGAGTTTATTTTTATTATACATTTTCTTTACACACCCACATTAATAAATTAAACCCAGATATGGAGGTATGTATGATTCTTCGTATTCTAAAGTTATTGTATTTTTTAATGACATCGACTGACTACCGCCTATTTTCTCCTCGACGATATCAAATAATCGATGTGTTTTCTGGAATTGATTGGCGGAAGTTTTCAAATAATTAAGCAATCCCTTTGATAGCTTTTTCAAAGCACGCGTATAAACTATGTCTGTCTCGACATCAAATAATTTGCGCTGATAATCTCTCAGGTAGTGATCAAATTCATTCAAATTTGCAACTAATGACTTAGTGAATTTTTTCATTTGGCGAACTTGTCTTAATTCCTTTTCCGCCCTGATTATTTTGCAATGATCGATGAAACTTTCAGCCCAATAGTTTTTAATTGCGCTCTCAGCTTCTCTCTCAGCATTTAGCAAATAAAAGGAAAGATGCCTAGCATCTAGTTTAACCTTACTGAATGAATCAATCATCTTATTTAATTGTCCTTTTAACTCTCGAAAGACGAGTTCCAGAACTTTTAATTGCCGTTGAATGAATCCTGAGAAATTTTGTTCATCATCCCAATAAGTGATGATTTTATAAAATTGTTCAACGAAAAGGTCGGGAATAAATGTGTCGTAGAGATAGACGTTTTCATCTTCATCCGATGATTTTACAACATCTAATATGTCGTAGATTAATGACACTTTATGTTGTAAATTAATAACGACTCCTGATGATTTGTGTCGAAAGTCGTTTATCTCTTCCTCAGCAACTTTAAGATCATCAGCTAAACCGTTAAGAGAACCGGAAATAAGTAGACCATTTTGTTGTACCTCGTTGCTTTGTCTTAAAGTATCGGCAAGATCATATAATTCGACCAGGTGCTGAGTATACGTTGATGTTTCTTTGAAAAATCATTATATTAAAAGGGTGATAGGAAGGATTGTATCATCAAATAATATTGTAAAGATAGAATACCTGGAAAGCCTAGAGCAAATAAATTCTTATTCGTTGCATCCCTGAATGCAGTCTCTTGAATATATTCTTGATATTTTATACCCTATTAAACTTTGATTAGTATGCAAATCTAATAATATCAACAAAAAACAGTGAAGCTTAACATACGAAATAAAAACCAAATCCTAATAAAAACGACACAGTAACGAGCGAGAGCTTAGCTTTGTTTTTGGTGCACCAGGAATGTAATACTCGTAATAGAAACTCGATCATTCTTAAAATAAACATATTTGTTGCGAAAATACAACTAAAGTTTTAAACGCAATTCTTTATAGCTGCGAAAATATAACTAAAAGGAAGTTTTAAAACGCAATTCTTTTACAGCTGCGAAAATACAACTAAAGGAAGTTTTAAACGCAATTCTTTTATAGCTGCGAAAATATAACTAAAAGGAAGTTTTAAAACGCAATTCTTTTATAGCTGCGATTTGCTACTTTTTCGTTTTAGTTTATTATATATTATTAAGTTGAAACAAGAATTTAATTGTATAAATTTTTTTCTGCGCTTGAGTTTATTCCCACGATGTGAGTAAAGCAGATAAAATTAGCGCACAATGATAACATATAAAAATCAGCACATAAACAAACGCCTCTGACTTCGAAATTTCCAATACTGGCTAAATCGTGTCATGATAAGATACGTCTCACGATAACCACGCAAATTTTACCAGAAAAAAGAAAAAAATTAGTCATATACATGTACACATACAATTCAAGAAAAGAAAGCATAATTTTTTTATTTTCTTTTTTTATTTAGATTTACTTGACAACATAAGGGAAACTAATACTTAAGTGGAATAAAAGTGAAAATAAAGATATAATACATGTATATGAAACAATCATAACGAAGACCTTCGCATAAATCAACCAGTCCCGTTTGTTTATAGTCTGACGTAGTTTATGATGATCTGGTTTTACATGCATCTAGCGATTAACAGATTTATATATTAAACAGTTTTTTCAGCCTTTCTATTATTACAGTACTGTAACTTTAGCACAACATCGCCACGGAGCTTCCCACGCTAATATATACATGTACATATAATACGCATAGGACCAATATGACATCTGTAACTTTAGCACATCTTCACGGAGCCTCCTCCCACGCTAATATATACATGTATATATAATACGCATAAGACCAATATAATGTCTATAAATTACGAATTGTGTACTGGTACTATAATATAAATCAGTCAAAATGAAATCACAACGCAAATATTTACCTGTATATTTCCATATCCAGATCTTTTGTATCAGCTGTTTTTCCGCTTTCGTGATACTATTTCTTATAGGTTTCAAAGCTTTTCCAAATCCATCTCTTCGTCTTTGAAACCAGCAAAAGCCAAAACAGCCGAACCACCACCAATGCCAAACCTTAATATACCGCCTAATGTAATGATACCATCTGGAAAAACTATTAGATATATTATTTCCTCCGGCGAGAGATACAAATTTAAGTCCTAGTAATGCAGCAAATTTTTCATCTGATGCTCCATCCTCGAAGGTTGAAAAAACGACTATTGAAAACAGATTCTCTTCAGATGAAGAACTACCTTCATCTGGAAGAACGCAGTGAGGTTTCTATAAGCTCTGTAAAGGTAATATTCACTTTTGTTGCTGTTAAATCTCTAAGAATGTCATACCGAACGGCTTGCGAAGGCAGCACTGATAATTCCTTTCCATTTTTCTTTTCCGTTATTGAGTTTTCTTAGTCGTTTTAAGCTCCGATTATTCAGTACCTTCAACAGTGACTTCCGATCATTCTGCTCGAGCTCGTTTTCGTCTCCCAGCGAGGTACTCGTGAGCTGCTAAAAGTGTCGGACTTGACTTGTCAGCGCAGCTTATGGTTTGTTGAGAATTGTATGGCTGTTACGATCGATAGGATCTGAGCTAAAAGGGCTTGAGTATCTATTGGTTTACTTTATGCTGATTCTTGATCCGGAACAACTCCAATTGGTCCGTAGGTAGGATTGTTACCGGTTGCTGGGTTTATAGAACAAATTGATTGTTGGTTTACACAATCACTTGGTAATTGCCGTTATTAGAAGAGTTTTGGCAATAGCGTTGAATGTGACCATCCTGACCACAACGATAACATGTCAGCTGACTGTCGGAATTTGGTAAATTCGTGGTTCGGACACTTGTTCTTGGCTTGAAGTTAAACTTTCTTGTGACTTTGATCTGTTCCAATCTGTTTTTCTTTCGTTACCTAAGACCTTGTTGCTGTACTTTGCAGCCCAAGAAATAGTTTCGGCCACCAAATACTCCAAAGAACTCGAAGAAAGTTCAAGGTGTCTATGGTTACCTTTGTTCGTTGATGCTGAGACCTGGCAAGCGTACCTAAAAATTAGTTCAATACATAATATATATGTCTATAAAAAGCAGTATTTTAGTTGAATATAAAACTCTCATCCGAGTGTACGCACTAAGTGACTTGACAAGATCCCGGAAAGCCCGCTTTCAAATTATTCGTTTTTTAATTTATCTTTAGCTGATGCCAAATTTTCTTCTTTTTCTTTGAGATCTTTTTGCACCTTTTATAATCCTCCTGTGCCCTCTTATAATCCTTGAACCTTACAGCTGCAGCCGATGACAATTTGCTATTCATTTTAAGTGATTCTTTTTTGGAAACTAATTTTTCTTTTTCTGTAACTAATCTTTTTGTGTTATTGCATTCCTCAACTGCACGATGATGCTCTGCAGCGATTTTTGTTTTTGCTGCTACTGCTTCATTTATTTTCCTTCTCCTTCAGTTTTTACCAATTTCCGCTAATCTGTAAAATATGAAATTATTATTTTTAGCATGAATTAAAAAAAATCAAAGTTATTTGAAGATTTCTATTTAATTACTTTGAACATCATCATCTGTGTTCTTTGAGATCACTGAAAATAGGAGAATGAGTGAATTTCAGAACGTTATGAATAAAAGTCCAAGAGAAAACGATTTGATAAGATTTTTTCTTACCAGAATCGTCCTTCTTCGAGGAAGATGTTTGAATTGATTCGATGACCGTGAAGAGGTTTCATCTCTTTTGTTTGAGAAATTACGAGAAGCGTCATCTCTTCTAGTGCTCGTTGAATTCGGGAAGGGTATTATTCTTCTCGTCTATCTGTTGAGCTTCTAGATGAATATGTATCATCTCTTTTATAAGATCGTGAGGATATTGATCATTTGAAGGTTTGTGCTCTTTTTTCTCGGTTGGACTTTTAGATGATCTTTTTCTTTTCTTTCTCATGAATTTTTTGAGGACGATGATGCCGGTTCCTTTTGTCATTCGAACCTCGTAATGTTGATTCTTTTCCGTTTTCTCTTTCGAATTTTTAGAAGGCGTTGTTTCCTTTTTTTCTATCTTTTGCTGATTGACATTGGCAGATCTCGATGCCGCATTATCATCTGCAGAAATTTTGTGCACTTTTCCGCGCTGGTGCAGATGTATCGTCATCCGCTAATTTGCGTCCCTTCTTCTTTGGTGATTCGGAAATTGCAGCTGCAAAGGTTAGTGCAATGTTCATTGATTCTGTAACCTTTTCGGTTTGTTTTGTGGTCAATCGTGATTGTTTATTTTGTTGATGATTTAATAGCTAATTTCTTTTCGCCAACAGCAGCAGCATTGGCCGATTTATTACGCGTATCGGCATTTGACTATTTCAGACGTCCTAGATCTTGCACGCGATATTGGTCCTTGATTAGGAGATCGAGATCGCGATCAACCTCTATTTGATCCAGCTCTCAGCTTGAGCATAGCGACAGACTTTTGTTGCTTTTTCTTGGTTGATAAATGGCTCTGACAATGGGTCCAAACGTAGGAGATCTTATAAAATAATTAAATAACAAAATTATTATTAATTTATTAATTAAATGATCTAAAGTAAAAGTAATTCTAAATAAAGAAGTTAATACTATTATTAAATTTATTTTTGAAGAAATAATTTGTAAATATGAATATCTAAAAAAAATTATAGTCTACTCAAGAAACTGAATTCATGATTCAAATAATTGAAAAACTTATTATTCAATTTAGAATTAAATATTAAATTTTCATTATTATATCACTTATAAATTAATAGAATAATAGAATATTTTAATCAGATTTATGTAAAATATTTCAGAAATATTATGTTATATTAGATGAATAATAAGATATATATATCAGTAGTATTATTTATATAGAATATTATTATAAAATATAAATTATTTTTGATCTATAGAAAAGAAGTTTATTTGTCTATCAATTTGAAATATCTATTATTATTTAAATAAAATAATAATAAAGAAGATAAAATATTAAATCAATATTCTCTCTTATTCATCGCTTGCCTGAAAATATTAATATAGTACAAAATTAAATTCAAAGATAAAAATAACAAATAAAAGAAAGATATAACTCAAAACTATAAAGAATTATATAATTTAATATTAGTGATAAAGTTTTAATATACAATATAAAATAATATATTATTTATGAAAATAAATTTTAATTGCAATAGAATACAGAATAGTTCTATATTTATAAAACTCTTAATAATAAAGCTTATAGATTGTATAATCAATATAACTAATTATTATATAAAACTTTAATAGTACTTAATTAAAATATTACTTTAATAAAAATAATTATTTGAATCAAGAATAATTATTAAATATATGGAAATATTAATAACAGAAGTATAAGATAAAAAATAGACTTTTGATTACATGATATTTATTATTTACTTTTTAATATTACACAAACTTAAAATAATTATATATTGATTAGTGCAAAAAGTTTGATATATCAATATAAAAATTCAATAATTACTTCTAATAAATTTTTATAATTTTTATATTAAATAAAGAATAATCTAAATTAACTTTTTATACTATTTTATATTTTAATTTAATAATAAATAAAGTATTACTTTACTAAAAAAAAACTAAAATAAAATTATTTTTTTAAAAAAAAAGATATTTTAGATATTATCACTATCAATTTACAAGATTAGAACTTTAAATTATTCAAGCAAATTGCTCTAGATTTAATAGATATATATTTAAATTTCATAAAAATTGAATTAGTAGTTATAAAGATATTAAGATTTAAAGTTTAGTAATTAAATTATTTACTATATAATTTTTATATTAGTAAAATTTTTTTTATAAAAGATATATAATAAAAATTTTTATATTCAAATAAATTTTAATATCTAATAACTTAATTAAATAAGACAAAATTAATATTTTATTTTGAAAAAATAATTTATTAATATTTATCTGAGATATAAATCTTTTTATACCAATTTATAGCATTATTTATATATAAAATATTTTAAAATAATATAATAAAATATAATTAATTCTTTTTAATTTATAATAAATAAGCTTAGTTTTTATAAATTTACAATAATTATTATTAAATATATAAAATAATAACATAAAAAATAAAATATTAAATTGCATATTCTCTCTTATTTATTACTTGTCTAAAAATATCAATTCAAAAATAATAATAAAAAAAAGATATGAAAAAAATTACTTAATTTAATATTATAATAAAGTTTTAATATATAATATAAAATAATAATATTACTTATAGAAATAAATTTCAATTATAATAAAGTATAAATTGATTTTATATTCATAAACTCTTAATAATAAAGCTTATAAATTATATAATTAATATAATTAACTATTATATAAAACTTTTAATAAAATTTAACTGAAATATTACTTTAATAAAAGTATTATTTAGAATCAAGAATAATTATTAAATATATAAAAATATTAAAATGAGAAAAAAAATAAAAAATAGAGTTTTGATTTTATTTATTTATTAGAATAGTTATATATATATATATACAGTCAGAGCTCTCTATAGTCACCATACTTGAGAAAGCAAAATTGGATGATTAAAAAAAGATGTGATTATAAAGAGTTTTTTAATTGTAATTAATTAGTAACTGGAAAACTTAAAAAAAATGACTATAAAAAAAGAGACTATAAAGAAATGTGACTATAGAGAAGTCTGACTATATATATAAATTCTTTATTGAAAATTTAATTTTATAAATAGTAATATTTTCTTCAAAATTTTCTTTAAATTTTATTATATTTTATAATTTTTATATTTTATATTTTTGAATTATCTTTTTATTACTTCTTTTTATTCAATAAAATATATATTCTTTTTATAATTTCATTTTTATTCAAATGTTACTTTTTATCAATAAATGAAGAATAATAATTTTTATGAATCTTTACAAATCAAAAGAAATTATCTTATAGTTGAAGAAAATAATCAAGAAGTTTATACTAATAGTAATACCACTACAGAACATACACTACTCTAGAAAGAACGTGACAATTTGCTCAACAATATTCTTCAAGTAATATATAACCTATCTTTTTAAGTAAATCCTTCTATTTTATCTATATATACAATGAAAAAATTAGGGTATCGAACAAGTAAACACGAACATGGCATTGTTATCCAAAGATCTGGATAGTTTCACTGCAGCCGGTAAAGACTTTGAGAATGTCGCTGCTTTGGAAAAGTTTCAATTCGACAATTATTATTGGTAGCACGGATGCGAATTTAAAATTTAAAAGAGAAAAATAATAATTAATACTACTACTGTTACAACTACTATTATTATGTCCGCACTTTGTTTATTATAACATATATGGAAGAAATATAATATATTATATTTTTTATTTAATATTGATATTATTGAATTTTTCTAAATAAATGAATAATCGGCGTCGCAGGAGGAAGTTGAAAGGCTCATTCGTAAGCTTCCAAGAGTTCAGCAAGGTCTAAAGCAAACTTTTGCCATTGAGATTTGCATTTTGCCTCCTGTATCTTTAACAGACCTTGGAGAGAAAGCCTGAAAAGAATAATCACAGTATTAAATCATAATTTTCCAATCTTATTATAAAGAAATGAATTTTTCTTCGTTACCTGAGACTTTTCAACTTTTTATTGTTGTTCTTTGCAGCCCAAGAAATAGTTTCGATCACCAAATGCTTCAGAGAACCCGAAGAAAGTTCAAAGTACCTATGGTTGTCTTTGTTCGTCATCGCTGAGACCTGGCAAGCGTATCTAAAAATTAGTTCAATACATAATATATATCAATCAATTAAGTCTATAAAAAGCGGGATTTTAGTTGAATATAAAACTCACATCCGAGTGTACGACTAAGCGACTTAGCAAGAGCCCGGAAAGCCGCTTTCAAATTATTCATATATTCGGCGTTCCCACTTTTTAATTTATCTCTGCTGATGCCAAATTTTCTTCTTTTTCTTTGAGATCTTTTTGTGCCTTCTTATAATCCTCCTGTGCCCTCTATAATCCTTCTTGAACTTTATAGCTGCAGCTGATGACAATTTGCTGTTCATTTTGTTGAGAAGTGATTCTTTTTTGGTAACTAATCTTTTTGTGTTGTTGCGTTCCTCAACTGCACGATGATGCTCTCAAGATTTTTGTTTTTGCTGCTACGGCTTCATTAATTTTTCATGTTCCTTCGTGCTTGTAATTTTTACCAATTTCCATGAATCTGTAAAATATAAAATTATTATTTTTAACATGAATTAGAAAAAAAATCAAAGTTGTTTGAAAATTTCTATCTAGTTACTATCATCTGTGCTCTTGAAGATCGCTGAAAATAGGATGAATGTGTGAATTTCAGAACATTATGAATAAAGACTGAGAGAGAATGATTTAAGAAGATTTTTTCTTACCAGACTCGTCCGTCTTCAAGGAAGATTTTGAATTTGATTTGATGACGATAAACTATTTGAAGAATTTGATTCTTTGCTATTACTCGTATTCCGCAATGCGCTTTCGTCTTTAGAAGGCGTTGTTTCCTTATTTTCCGCGTGGGATTATCATCTTTTCGGTTTGTGTCTTTCAGTTCATCAATCTCCATATCGACGGTAGCCCTTGCTGGAATTCAAAGAATGACGATATTTAATTAATTCGTGTAGATTATTTAAAAAAGTAAAGTTATGGCATGGAAAGAATGGAACACTCGGTTACTTTATTACTAAACTTTGATTCGTCAGCACATTTAAGTTGTTGGATGTAGCATTGGATGACTATAATAAAAGCAAATTCAGGATATGAAATATGAGAGCAAAAAAATTTGCCTGGATTTGAAATATAAAGAAATGAATATTACCGGATTAACGGCGGAAGTTAACGTCGCATTAGAATCTATTTTTGCTGACCGACATTGGCAGATCTTGATGCCGCAGAAATTTTGTGCACTTTCCGCGCTGGTGCAGATGCATTGCTATCCGCTAATTTACGTCCCTTCTTCTTTGGTGTAGCGTTCACTGATTCTGTGACTTTTCAGTTTGTTTTGTGGTCA